GCATCCTCAGATTCAGCACCATTGAAGACTGGATGTTTCAATTTCAAGAACTTACTGAAAAGTTCATGCTGATCATTTTTCATTATAGGCCCAGTAGTCAGACGTGGAAACGTGCCTATGTCCAATGAGGCATCCATACGAGGAGCCATAGTGGCTGCATGTTGTACCTCTGAAACCGGAGGTGTTGGTGTAGGAAACACTGGGGGTGCCTGACCCTGATCAGACAATCCACTAAGATAAGCATGAACCTGATTGATCATTTTTGGGGTAGGTTGGGGTGGTAATTCCTCATTCTGTACTTGTTCATTTTCCCCATCCTCCCCTTCTATTACTACTTCTTCAGTCGGGGGAGGAGTCACCGCCCTAGTATCAGATGGGCTAGGTGCTCGTCCCCTTCCTCTAGAGGACGTCCTCCCACGACCTCTACCACGGCCTCTTGCCGCTGCTCTTCCTCGAGCTACAACCCAGTGGCTGGCTCAGATGTATCTTGTCTTGCCGATGATGTTGGCGCGGTTGTTGCTCTAGTTCTAACCATCTGCGAAATAGAGTGAAGATGGTCAGATACCAATTTATATCACTTAGATACCAACTGGATCCAAGTAGTAGCACGAAACAAAGAAAGAAAGAATGGAATTTTTCCTAAAGTCTTATAGCCTCTCAAAGAAAAGTAAAGGCGTCCCCCTACCGTTCCTTAAGACTCTACTAGACTCGTTCTTGTGTGATGAGACCAACGAACCTAATGCTCTGATACCAAGTTTGTCATGACCCAAATCGGGCCGCGACAGGCACCCACACTTACCCTCCTGTGTGAGCGAACCAACCAAATCTAAACCTTAACATTTCAATGTACTATCAACATAAAGTACTGCGGAAGACTTAAACTCATTAATAAAAACCAATTCAATAACTATTATTTCCCAAAATCTAGAAGTCATCACCACAAGAACATCTATGATCAAATTACTAAATTAAGAGTATTCTAAAAGCTAAAACAAGTAAAAGCTAGTCCATGCCGGAACATCAAGGCATCAAGACATGAAGAGGAAGATCCAGTCCAAGCTAGAAGCATTAGCTCACCCTGATATCCGGAGTAATGAAGACTGGCTAGAGTTATTGTTGATTCGAAGAGGACGGCACGTTTGCTGCACTCCACAATTAAACAAGAAGAAAACATAAAAGTAGGGGTCAGTACAAAACACGGGTACTGAGTACATATCATCGGCCAACTCGAAATAGAAATCAATATATACCAAGTAATATCATAAAAGCAACTATGATATTCAACATGTAGCAACAACAAGTACTATATCATTAACAATTACCGTCAAGTTCACACATGAGGACTCAAGCCTCAATACCATACTCATTTGGAAATTATGTTCGTTAGATTAAGTATATTAACATCTTTCAAGATTTCATTATCTTTATTTCTCTTGTGTCGGTACGTGACACTCCGCTCCCTCATATTTATTAATCCTCTTGTGTCGATACGTGACACTCCGATCCCCTAAATCTACGTGTCGGTTCGTGACACCCGATCCCCTAAATCTACGTGTCAGTTTGTGACACCCAATTCCCTAAATCTACGTGTCGATTCGTGACACCCGATCCCCTAATTCTACGTGTCGGTTCGTGACACCCGATCCCCTAATTCTACGTGTCGATTCGTGACATCCGATCCCCTAAATCTACGTGTCGGTTCATGACACTCGATCCCCTAATTCTACGTGTCAGTTCGTGACACGCGATCCCCTAATTCTACATGTCGGTTCATGACACCCGATACCCTAATTCTACGTGTCGGTTCGTGACACCTGATCCCCTAAATCTCCTTCTATCAATTCATCAAGCCTTCTTTCTTACCAGGGCATTATCAATCTCATTATTTTAGTTCATCACGCCTTCTTTCATACCAAGGCAACAAAATCTGCTGCTCAAAATGACTAAACAGGTCATTACACTATTCGCGCTTCGCACGACTATATAAAACATTTATAAGATAATAACATGAAATATGTAATATTTAGGTTAGTAGCGAATTTATCAATAATATTAATATTTTTCCTCGTCTCGTCTGCGATCTCATAGACTTTTTTTAGCATATAAAATATATATATTTATTTTGTATATGTATATATTAGAATAAAATATTCACCATGGTGAAGTAAATGGAAGAAGAGATAATATGTTGAAAGAACAATATATTGTATTAGTTTGAAAATATTTTATACGTTTTAATTTTCTCTATCTTTTGTAGGAGTAATAACGTCCTATTCAAACTCCGATTTAGTCAAAACAAAATTAATTTTTTTATTATTACATTTTCTTATTATAATTTTTTAAAAACAAGTTAAATATTTACAGCACCTACTAGAATAAAACATATAAAGTTATGAATTATATTTAATATAAACATTACAAATAAGATTAATAGACATAGTAATAAATAATTCAAATGTATAGTTTTATTAGCCATTAAATGTATTATGAATTATGTATTGATTTTATTTGTAAAATTAATAAATAAAAATAAAGGGTGAAAATACAAAAAATGAACAGAGAAAATATAATAATTGGTGACTATGAAAAAAGAACAGTGACACATTGTTACATACACAAAAAATGAAATAACAATATTCCTTTTTTTCATAACAAAGAGAAATTAGAATACTAAAGGAGCAAATGAATAGCATTCACAATATAATACATTTAACTAAATTATCTATATAAGTAAAAATTTAATTATAGCAAAAGTAACTAAGTTGCTAATACAATTCAATGTGGAATTTTTTTTTTATAATTATGCTTATTTTTTTCCTTCTACCATCTTTCTTTGCAAAGAGATCTGCCATCACGTTTTGATCCATATGTCAAACTCTTCATTATATGCAGCCAACTGAATTAAAAAAAATCATATACCAATTAGAAAAATAATTATGTCAAAAGAAAGAACAAAACATAAACTATATTTAATATATTTGTATATTATGTTTTAAATCGTACTAACAATACTAAATAATAATTATTTCTTGAAATCTGACAAATATTATAATTAAACTATATTATATTTGAAAAACAAACTATTAGAAAGACCAATTGCATACGGAGAATACATTGTTAAGAGTTACAGAGATCTTTTTAATCATACATGATAAATTATAATACAAACATAAAAAAAAAAATATTAAGAAAGCATGTCTAAGTACATAAAAATAAAAAGAAAGACTTTAGAATGAAATATATCTTACCTTCATTTACTTTTTTTGTTACATGTTAGTTAATTCACAAACAAGTATGATGAAGAAGAGAAATTATAACTTTGTATGTGAATTTTCATGAAAATAAATATGAATTTATATAGATAAAAATAGAGGAAATAAAAAAAAATTTGCAATGAAATATATCTTACCTTCGTGTACCTTTTTTTTTGGTCACAAACCAAACTTATATGATAAAAAAAGAAAGGATAATTGTAAATCTTCACGAAACTATGAATTTATAGGCAAAATAAAGGAATACCATTAGACATCATATACTTTTAAATTTAATTTGGAGGTTATGGACATAAAAAATATGAAAGTTATGAATATTATTAACCGTAAAAATTAAAGAGGGGCAATTCATCGATAGTAACTCAAAGTGAATAAATTCAAAAATAAAAATAAAACTACCTAAAAAGTAAAATAAAAAAGTTATTATGATTACATGATTAGATGTGAGATAAACAAATAGAAAAAGAATATAGAGAGTATTTCTATAAATGTTCCTACAATACTAAAATATTAATTTATATAAACAAAGAAATATATTTTTACAATAAATTATTTAAATTAAAAAAATTCAAAAATAAATAAATTATGTTTCTTCTTTTATTATATGTGAGAAAAATAAATTAAAAAATATGAAAAGTTTTTGTTATAACTGATCCTCCATTAATAAAATATTAATTTTTAATAAATTTAAGTAATTTTTAAATGATATAATAATTAATTATTTTTTTTATAAAAGGAAAAACTAAATGAAAATGGAGGCCATAGAGAGGTGCCACATAACCTTGTCTGTGGTCATCCTATATATATATATATATATATATATATATATTATTTATTTTGAATATGTGTCTTGCTTTGTTAGTATCACAACATTTTTCATGGTACCGAGATGAGATTTGTTGATCATGTACTCTGTTTTTAATCATAGCTAAATTGGTTGGTGTGCTACCAAAGGTAGGAGAATATGAACTGATTTTTCGAACTAAATCTGATAGCATCAGATTACCAAATCATTTCATGTAATAATATAATTTCAAAATTAGAAGTTAGAACCTCGTCTTTCCACCTCACTAACTTTAATTGCAAACACAAATATATGTGGTTTTATAAATGTAAGTCAAGTCAATTTTATAGCGACATAAGCTAAGTATCAGAGCTTGTATTAAATGTAAAAGTGTAATCAAGTAATTAATAGTTTTTGATGGTTTGATGATGATATACCCCACATGTCGCGGAAGCTACCTTATTGTGTTGCCCTGTTGGAAGTTAGAATTCCGAAAGCACTTAATCTTTTCATGAAGGAGCTTGTGTTAAATCTGCTTACTTGGTTTGCCCTACATTTTTTATGCATAGTTTGGAAAAAAGTGTGGTACCTTGGATTCAAGTCTTGAAATCTTTCGGATGAAAAGAAGCTTAAGAGGAGAGAGTTGATGGTCTATATTGTTGTCTGAGAGAGTCAAAGTTCATAGAGTATTTTGTGATGCCCTTCACGGATAAGATACCTTATCTGTATGAACCACTCAAGAAAACATTGTTCCTTTGATAGATTTTTCTTTTCATATTGCATTCTTAAATGCCAACGGATTTGTTACCATTTCCAATAATTAGAAAAAGAACTTTATACTAATCTAGTTTGTTTTTCTTTTGTTCAATTATTAGTGACCTTAATCTTGATGGAAATTTCCCATATTTATCGAGATGCTTTGTGTTGGTTTATCTTTGTTGCAGTTTAATGTGCAAGCTGAAAAATTGCATAAAAAGAAGATCTCTAGTAAGACTCAATATATTGTTCTAGACCTTATATATTAATATTTGTTTTATGAATATATGTGTAGTGGATGTCGAATCTAGTTATGATATATTCACATATGCGTTTAAATATGAGAAGAAAACTCATTTGATGGATATCCAGGTGAATGGTGCTACAATTGCTCAGAAGGATGAGAGGATTGATATTATTAGTGTCATCTAAGGTAAAGGTTATGAAGGTGTTGTAACTCGTTCAGGGAGTAACATGTGTTACTTGAAAAACTCACGGGGCTATACTTAAGGTTGCATGTATCAGTGCCTGCGAGCCTGTTGGAGTTTCATTGATGACTTGTGCTTGTCAAAATGGATACCATCACCTACTTAGAAGAATAGAGTTTCAACATTTACTCCATTTGGAACAGAAGAAGTTTTAAATAATTTATTGTTATTGTTATTGTTTATTTTCAAGAAGGTGTTTTTGAAGATAATTTTGAACATTTTAATGCTTTCTGTTGTCTCGAAGATTGTAGTTGAGATTTGAGAACACTCTTAATACAAAAGTTTTATTGTTGTCGTTTAAAGTTTTTGTTGTTATGATTTTGGTCGAGAACAAGCTTTAGTTCTTAATGTTATTATGAATGTATGAGGTTAGTCGTTAATTATTATTACAATTCATATGAGTCGTGGTAAAATTATATAAAAAAAAAGTAAAATATTAGATTTGGATTAAAAAGTTGTGGAGAGGTTACAGCCTCCCGAAACGAAAGTGAAAAAAAAATGGTAACAAGTAGAAGGAATTTATAAACGCCACACAGTGAATTATAAAACTGCTACATATTGTTTGTGGCAGTTATTAAAAAAACCCTGAAATCTAATTGTGACACACCAAACATAGGGAGCTTTCCAACCCCTGCAATTTGTACATTTAACCCCCACTAATTAACAGTTTTTTTGTAGTGTAACTCCTTCATCTCTTTTACAACTTCATTAACTTCTCCTGCAAAGTATTCATAAATTGTGACAAGATTTTCATCGACTATTGCTAATGCAAGGATTTCGTCAACATCAACTGAAGTGCCATCTTCGTCGACTAGTGGTGTTGTATAGTCGTCATTAACTGCTCCGATCAGTTGCTTAGCATTCATAAAAATAAATTATTTTACACAAAAAATATAAATTAGTCTACCTTTCTTTTTCTTGTTCTTTTGATTTCTCCTTAGTATCTCCTCTCGTACAAAAGCAACAAATTACATCATTGATTGTTCATGAGATGTAACATCCTCACACATATTATCATGTTTATATTTACTCGATATATTTTTCCCTCCGCTCGAAACAAAATTTTCACAAGGTTTGTTAGAATTGTTATCACCCAATATTTCATCCTTTTCATTCTCTACTGCTGAAGTGAGGACAACGACACATTTCCAATTAGCCTGTAAGGCATCAATGATTTTGTCCTTCACTCATCCGTATATGACTTAACGTTGCCATGTAATTTTATTTTGTTTCATGGACAGTAGGTGTATCTACAAAACATAAATATATCTTCTATATCATATATTATTAAAAGCATGAACCTCTTAATCCCAAAGTTTATTTACCGTTTTAACCCTACAATATCATTTATATATTAATTTATTAAATATTTTAGTTAAATATTAGTTATTATAAATTTAATTTGCTGAAAACCCTAATTTAATTATTCAGAAACGCCCGATCGATTGTTGTTGCTCGACTTCTCTTTTGCAACGGTTATGAAGTTTCATTATCCTTCTTCCAAAACCAATTAAAGCTACTTTCATTATCTGTATAAATGTCTCTATTCAAATGTTATTGTCCATTAAATTGTTTCTCTTTTCTGTGCCTGGATGATATACATGTAAATATTTTTCATGCTCTGTTTTTGTTGCATAATAGGTATAGTGAATTTTTAACAGAAGTGTGATCATGAACGACGGAGAGGAAAATCAAAGAGTCCATTCTGATCGTAAAGCTAATAACGCTTAGATTGGTCTAGTTCCATGTTTTGTTTTCCATCACCATAATCAACCATCCCAAGGTCCAACATCATCAATAGTTTCTTTGTAGTGCTCAAGTAAAAAGTTTTATTCAGGATGAGATGAACAAACCTGTGATGGAAAACGTATATTGTATTTTATGCCGTCTTATGTTCCTTTTATTCTCTCAACTTTTTTTTACTTTTAATCATTCACTTTTGTTAAATGTTGTTTGTGGTTTTTAAACACTACAGGTGTTTAACTTTGCTGTAGGGGACAATAGGCGAGGTCGCTTTGTTAAGGATAATCTACTTTTGCTGACGTTAATGCTTTGGTTTTGCTATGTTTTGCTGCAAATTGTAAATATATGTACACCCTTAGATTCCTAGCATATTTCGAGTTTAATTGATACCTTTTAGATGGTCTGATATGAACTCGCACATTACAATTACTTTTACTCAATAGCTTTTAGTTTTGCATGCTCCACAATATCAGCAGATCATTAAAGTTGTAAACAATGAAAATATCATAGTTACTTGCAAAAAAAATGCAAAAGGAATGGCACTGACACTCGAATCTCAACCAATAAATGGTTGCTTCATGTGCTGGTGCTTAATTGATGTAGCATTGCAATTGATAGTATAAAATGTACTCAAGGCATGTTGAATCCTTTAGTTTGTACTCTGATGATATTTTGGAACAAATTAAGTTTGAATAACTAAATGCAACAGCAAATACTTCAGCACAAATTGTTGGAAAGTTGAAACAGAGAAGGTGTACATTTAATTAGGGAACAGTAGACAGAGCGATAGACAGTCAACACTATGCCTAAACACCTGCATAAGTTCCTAAATTTCACATGCGGTTTCACGTCAATTTGTCAGCATAATCAAAACATAAATTTCTCTGAAGGTACACTATCCTTTTAATATTTGTGGTTGATTTTGATTGCCTACTTGTAAGTTGTAATTAATGTCTCCCTGAATCAGCTTCTCGCACGTTCAAAATAATTGATCTTGGTGCTGCAACATATTTGAGAGTAGGAATCAATTGTATTGCGAAGGAGTTTCGTTTAGATCCAAGGTAATTGCCTACTCTGCAACTTAGAAGTAAATAAACCGAATTTGCGTAAGATTGTACATGTTTCAGTTACTAAAGAAGTGAAGAATAAAGGAAAATAAGTTTACAATAATAAGCATTAGTCTATGTGAGGGAATTATTTATTGAATTTTTCATAAAAAATAAAGCTATGAGTCAGTTATGGGTCATCAAAATAGAATATTTCTCAATTTTGTGCAGATCTTTTTAAAATATCTTCTTTTATCTGTCGTTTTAACTAGAATAAACTATGCCATGCTGTCTTATTTTATTTTCAAGATTTGTGTGCACATGTGGTGTTCTTCACTTTTGAGTTGGAAGATTTTCTTTCTGATGTAAGTTACTTTTACAAGTTTGAGTAAAAGTAAGAGAAGGCTTTTAGTGTATAGTAAAAATATTAGTCTTGTTGCAGACATATACAAGTATATTGATGAGGCTTATTACAAACAATACATGTCACCATTATCATTGAAATTCCCATTCTGTAAGAAGTGAGGAGAGGAATTGGTGTAGTTGGATGCCATATTCTCTTAACTTTCAATTTGATTTCTTTTCTTGTTTGATTCATAAACGTAGCAAGTATTCAAATTTATTTACTTAGCTTTGCAATTTTTTAAATGCATGTATTCTATTTTCTAATAATGCTAACTTCAAGGGGCAAGTAACAAATTAAATACTCCTACTATTTTATATATATGATAAAATTTTGTATATTAGTTCTATAACTTGTAAACTAATAATTTGTATGACAATTTGTAACTAGGGCGGTCGAGAGGATATCTATTTGCATTTTTTTGATAAAAAACTTAAATCCCAGCAAAGGAAAAAGATATTTAAGTCTGTTACATAGGGCCAATAGTTCAAGATTATATTAGCTTCTCTTATAAGGCAGTTACCTTGTCTTACCTTTTTTGTCATCTTTAGGTGTAAAGGAATTCATTGTGATTATGGTGTTAACCGATGACTAAGGCTGCTGGGTCGACATTGACATTGAGATTTTTCATTTCTCATCAAATGAATGACAACTTCTTCTGACTATTCACTCAAATATTTTGTATTAAGACCAGATTTTATGAATGATTCATTGCCTTTCTCCGACCCACACTACCGAAACTGAGAGTAAACAACTAATACATTCGGTGATCCCCGGATGCCGAGGGCGTCCTTGGGGTGATCTCATAGTTCCTATACTGTGGAGATGATTGGGTCGGTCTATGGATGTTCCTAATTCCTTTTCTTTTGCTGCATTTGCTCAAAGGGTTGAAGGGATATAGTGCATCAAGCTTTTCGCAAGGGTCAACTTGATCTTCTTTACACGAATATCAAATCTTTAGTGTTGTGATTGCTTCACAAGGCCTGCGGTTGCAATACATGTATTTCAGATAGACAAGTATAATTTTTTTCACTTCTGTTTATGACTTCGGTTGAATTTTCTATTCAACCAAAACTTCATCCAAGACTTGAGATTTGAACTATTGAGGCAATTATTGGAGATATTTGATAGTAGCAAACTATTAAGACACTCTTTATAACTTATGAGTGGTGTGATTACACTTTGGAGATGATATGAAAGGATGCCTTGTGCAAGACCACATCCTCAATAGTTTCTTGGTAGTGCTCAAGTAGATAGTTTTATCCATGATGATATAAATAACTTGTGAGGAAAAATGAGTTTATGCCGTCTTCTGTTCCTTTTGATCTTGTTCATTATTTTTCTATAAACTATTATCATTCACATTTATTAAATGTTGTTTGTGGTTTTTAAACATGGCAGTTATTTTACTTTGCCTTAGGGGACAATAGGCGAGGAGTCTTTGTTAAGGTAAATCTATTTTTCTAAACTTAACGCTTTGCTTTTGCTGCTAATTGCAAATATATATACACCTTTAGTGTTTTGATGCTAATCGAAAATATATGTACACCCTTAATTTTCTTACACATTGCGATCAATTTTACTTGAAAACTATTAGATGGTCCTATATGAAAATGGGTAGACGGGTTGATTTCTCACTGCTACCATAATATTTTACTACTGGTGGTCACAAAACTTAAGAACTTATCCTTCCAACCTGCATTACCTTGAAGTTGAATAATAGGGTACACTATTTGTAGGAATTAATTTTTATGTTCCTTATCCTTGAGAAACAATTTGCCAAAATAAAGATTGCAAAATGTTATCTATTTAACTTAAGGAGTCGAAATGATTAGTGGAATAACCTGTGTAAGGTTGGTGGTTATGCTATTACAAGAATCAGTTCAGTCACTTTCTTTTTTTGTGGAATTATTAACTTATAGCCTTATAGAGGTTATGGTTCTTGGTGTGGTGAGTCCTTCAGAAAACTGAATGTTCTCATTACATTTTCTGTGCTACAATATGAATTTTTAAACTTATTCTTACGGAATTAATGGATGTTTCAATCAAACATTTTCAGCCTCATTTATACAAATTGTAACCTGTGAATTGGTACATGTGAAAGATAGAA